AAGTGTTTTTTGAACCATCACCCTCCTGAACCCTTTTTGAAAGAATCATTCATTAAGGAAGCCTTCCTGTAAGAACCTCGTCTCTACGTTAAAATATGTAACTTACGCAGCGTAAGTAGCTTCAACAAGCTCATAACCGATTTCAAAGATCTGATTTTCATGAACATTTCGCTTCAAGAAACTAAACCTCCTGAGGGGCAGGTTCAACTTGGCTGTGACGCGTTTTTGGTCGTAGCTTGCGAAACTGTTTCGCCGAGACATTTCACACATGACTTCCCTTATTTGTCTCGTAATTTCGGTTCGAAAACGTCAATCGAAATGAGCTTCCAAAAACCTCAAGAAGTCCAACATTTTTAAATCCATTGAGGACCTCAACTGTTTTCAAGGTTTCTGAGCCCCTTCTTCCAAGAGGTTCTTGAACCTCAAGAAGCCCTTCTTCGAAGATAGTTTTGAGATAGGCCCCATGAGACATTCATTATCGGACTGCTCCGTGACAACGCGATATATGCATCATAACATTTCTGGGATAATGCGAGCTATGACCGATGTCGATTACCAGATATTATCCGCTATACGTAATTATATATCGATAATACGCCACGATCGAACCAGATGTAGAGGATCGCAGTTGAGGTGACAGTCTTCATTCTCTAATATCCTCAGTGCCACTGAGTGAGTGAGGATACCTCACTTTACCGCATCTCACTTACCGCTGCTCACTTCACAGCGATAACATGAACAATAACTGGGGATTCACTTTTACAGGAGCATCACTACGGATTCCGTAGTACGGAAAACCCTGACAGAAACTTCCGCACGAAATATTCACTTTTGAACACCTCCTGAGTTCCTCCTTAGAGTTATTATCATCGACTGTGCAGAGGTGTTGAAGAATGATACCGATTTGCCACCTGTACGGGCCTCAATTTCGTTACATAGTAGCGCCTTTACACAGCGGCAACCTTCATCTATTATAGCAGTTCCTACCAGGAACTCCCTGGAATGCAAATGAGCAAACGATGTTCATCCGCAGGATGACATCCGGGTAAACTCCGTTATACAATACGACACGTTTGCGGGTTTGTAATGTTGCTACTTTGAATGTTGCTGCTTCGCCCCCTTTCTCTCTTTGATTCTCTGCATCTTAGACGTGCAATCCACAAAGTTGCAAGGATGACGATCTGATGGCCACAGATGAAGTATGTGACGAGTTAAGTTGATAAGATTTATCATAAGTTTCGGGCGGGACGATGCGATCGAGCCTGTGTTTGCAACTGTTGCCGCCATCATGGCGGCGCCAAGAACTGAACTCATCGCCATTGAGCTCTCGAAAAAAAGGCTAACTTGAGTAGTGGAGTAATTGGATCTATCTAATAATAGGGATGGCCATAGCTCGGCCCGAGCAAAAGCACGCCTGCCCATCATCGTTGCACGCAAGTATACTGCCCCAGAGTGAAGTCAGAATCAGTTTGACGATATGATCAACCAGATTTGAATCGTCATATGGACGGACGTATGTTTAACATACTCTAACAAGATTTACCATACCACCTATACTGGTTATGATAACCGAAAGTCAGCATACTGGGATCACTGATGGTCGAGACTTCCATCCCAGAAGAGTATGGATAGGGATTCATGCCTTGACTAGAGCGGTGAATTTGCCCAGCACCTTAGTTTGAATGGTATGACTGGAAGCAGAGTAGATGAACTTATGCAGATCAGGCTCCTGGAAGTTGAAACCTTGGACAGTTCGATCTGACAACCGCTAGAAATTTCCGGTAATGGCCCAAGGGGAGCGCATCAATATTGAATATATCGAATCCTG